GCTAATTTTTTTGGTATTTTTAGTAGAGGCAGGGTTTCACTGTGTTAGCCAGGATGATCTCAATCTCCTGACCTGATCCGCCAGCCTCGGCCTCCCAAAGTGCTGGGATTACAGGCGTGAGCCGCTGTACCCAGCCCATACTAGTGATTTTTGTATATTGACTTTGTATCTTGAGACCTTGCTAAATTCATTTATTAAATCTGGTACATTTTTTGTAGATTTATTAGGATTTTTTTTTTTTTTGAGAGCCTAAAAGTGGGCATGCCTCTTCTGTTGCTCGGTCCAAGTGTTGGGTTTGAGGGTTAAATCAGTCTACTCAAAAGCTGAGCTGAGTGTGAGTTTTGTTGTTGCTATCATTGTCTTCAGTGCCCCACTGGCATGGGATCCTGTTTGTTACCTTCTGGTTAGGTGAGGTCTGAAATGCCCTTATTTATTTATTTTTATTTTTATTTTTTAAAAAATATTCCACTTCTACCCTCAGCCTTGGCCTTGCTAGTGCACCTATACCTCAGAGGGGATCTCTCTTTACAGTCTTGGCCCCCCCCTTAGCAGTAGATTGCTGTCAGTTACCGCTTGGTCCCTGCAAGCCTGCAGAAAGAGTGATGGCAACAGGGGACCGAGAGGTATCTCTGTTTCTCTGCTGTTGGGCAGGACCTGTGTTTTTGAGTCTCATTAACATCTGGTGGAAGTCTGTGCAGAAGAGCATGGGAGCAGGCATGAGTCTTCCTTGTTTTCTATGGCTCCTACAGGGTCTGTACTCTTATCCTAGCCCACATTTTGCCTTCAGCAGTTTGTTAAAAACCTCGCTTAATTCTTTTTACCCAAATAGCATGTGATATCACTTCCTCCTGGGCTCTGCCATAGGTGAGCCAGCGTTCACTCCCCATCTCTCCTTGGAAGGGCCTGACTTAAAGATTTCAGAATAATTGGTTGCCCTGAGACCTGATCCTTGATGAGTTCAAAAAAAGTGATGGGCCAGGCACTGTGGCTCATGCCTATAATCGCAGCACTTTGGGAGGCTGAGGGGGGTGGATCACTTGAGGTCAGGGGTTCAAGACTAGCCTGGTGAACATGGTGAAACCCTGTCTCTACTAAAAATACAAAATATGAGTCGGGCGTGGTGGCAGCCACCTGTAATCCCAGCTTCTCAGGAGGCTGAGGCAGGAGAATTGCTTGAACCCAGGAGGTGGAGGTTGCAGTGAGCAAGCAAAGATTCAGCCTTTGCACTCCAGCCTGGGCGACAGAGCAAGACTGTCTCAAAAAAAAAAAAAAAAAAAAAAAAAAAGTGATGATTTTATAATTTGTCTTTGACACTTTCCAGCTTTCTATATCCTAGCAGAAATAGAAGTCCAACAATTTGGGTGGAAGGAGGGAACTACCTACCAGGTTCTATGCTTATAACCTGGGTGACGAAATAATCTGTATACCAAACCTCTGTGAAACCACTACAATTCACCTGTATAATTACATGTATAATGCACATATACCCCTGAACCTAAAATAAAAGTTAAAAATAAAGGCCCAACAATTTGATTATGTGTGCACTCTTGTTCCTTTGTTTTTCCTGCCAGGGAGCTCTTGAGCTCCTTGGATCCAAATAAAAATTAGGAAATTTTTCAGACATCATCTCTTCAACGATTTTTCTACTCCTCTACTTGATTTCTGAGACTTTCAATCAATTACATGTATGTTAGACTGTACAGGGAACTGGAGTTCTGATCTTTGGTATTTTCATCCTTTTTTCCTTTTCTTTCATCCTTTTTTCTTTCTGCTTTCCCTTCCCTTCTGATACATACTCAGTAGTGGCACTGCTGGATGATAAGGTATTTCTAGTTTTAATTTTTTTAGGAAACTTCCCACTGTTTTCCATAGCGGTCATACTAATACGCATTCTTATAAACAGTGTACAAAGGTTCCCTTTTTTCCACATCATTGTCAACACTTATCTTTTATCTTTTTTATAATAGCCATTGTAAAAGGTGTGAGGTAATATTTCATTGTAGTTTTAATTTATTTATTTATTTTTGAGATGGAGTCTTGCTCCCGTCATGCAAGCTGGAGTTCAGTAGCATGATCTCGGCTCACTGCAACCTCCACCTCCCAGGTTCAAGCGATTCTACTTCCTCAGCCTCCCGAGTAGCTGGGATTAAAGGCATGCGCCACCACGCCTGGAGAATTTTTGTATTTTTAGTAGAGATAGGGTTTCGCCATGTTGTTCAGGTTGGTCTCAAACTCCTGACCTCAGGTGATCCACTCACCTTGACCTCCCAAAGTGCTGGGATTACAGGTGTGAGCCACTGTGCCCGGCCTATTTTTTTCTTTAATATTTCTGGCCTACAAATGATTCCATTAGCTCATTTTTTTAATGCAGTGTATGAAAGTTTCAGGTCTTCTACATTTTCACTTGCATTTGGTGTGGTCAGTCTTTTTAGTTTTGGCCATTTTAGTGGATATGTAGTGGTATTTCTTTGTAGTTTTAATTTGCATTTTCTAATGAGTAATGATGTCTGCCATCTTTTCTTTTGTATACACATTTGTGTGTGCACCTGCCTTCTGTATATTTTCTTTGGGAAGTGTCTGTTCAGACCTTTTCTGTATCTACAAAATTGGGTTATTTTCTTATTATTGAATTTGAGAGTTTTTTGTATATTTTGGATATGAATTCCTTTCTTTCTTTTTTTTGTTGGGAGACAGGGTATTGCTCTGCCACCCAGACTGGAGTGCAGTGGCACAATCACGACTCGCTGTAGCCTCAACCTCCTGGGCTCAAGCGATCCTCCCACCTCAGCCTCCTTAGGAGCTGGGACCATAGGCATATGCCACCACACCTGGCTAATTAAGAAGTTTTTTTTTTTTTTTTTTTTTTTTTTTAATTAAGATATGGGGCCTGACCACGTTGTCCAGGCTGGTCTTGAACTTCTAGGCTCAAGTGATCC